ATATAATAAAGTAGAGCTAAATTTAAATTTTTGGAAACACAAAAAGGTCAAGATCGTTTTGAGATAAAATATAAACATATCCAACAACAACATAATTCCAATATAAAAGACGATTTAGATCATTTCATAAATATTGATCATATTAGTAATAAATTTTATTTTTCCGCCGCACAATGTTGCCTTTCTTAATTATCATGGCTTTTACCTTTCTCCAAATCTCCCTTCCTCGTTCCTTTATCACCACCGATCTACCTCAATTTTCTTGACTCACGCCTCTCTTTCTCCGAAACCCGTTTTCCAAACTCATCCCTAAAATCTCTCTCGTGAAATCCATCTCAATCTCACTTTTGCCTCTCTATATGCTATCTCAAATCTTCTGCCAATCTCAATTCCGATTCGCCTGTCTCTCACGCCTAGCTCTCCACCGCCAAATGACTTTCACCGCCATACATAGCACACGCACAAACACATAGATACACAGCACACACCTAGACGCACTACACGCACCACATACAGAATGTAGTTTATATGTTTTGTTGTCAATTTCATTGTTGACTATGTTCTTCATTTCGTTGCCATACAGACTGGAGTTTGTTTCGGCTATTCGTAAAACTATCAGCGACAATCGCCTCTTCTCCCCTCTCTCTTTGTGCCGCTGCCTAGCCACCTTCAAGGACATCCAATAGCTGCTTAGGTATTTTCTTTGTTTGATTTACAATTTTTTTTTGAATATATTCACAACCATTATCAAGTTTTTATTTATAGGCCTTGATTTTTACAATTAGAAGGCATCTTAATGATGCCAACAAGCTACTGTCTAGAAACCCTCTCTCCATGATGACAAAGTGTTTAAAGACTTTGAATGTTTTAACAAACTAAGCCCTCACACACAGTTGGGTAGCCGGAGAAGAATTACAGATTTTTTTATGTTTTTCTTTGTGATAAAATTTTATGTCAGATTTATTTTGTCGGTCTGAATTCGTACAGTACTGGACTGCATTTGTATTGTATTGAATTGAATTTATACCACAGCCACCACATTTTGTCGAAATTTCTGAAAGAGTTGCGGACTATCACAACCACCACTACAGCCCCAATGTCAAACCCAAAGATCAGTGACGAACTTGGTCTGACACCCTCGCTCTTTTTAAAGGTTCTTATTAGTTAACTTTTAGTAAAATGTTAATTGCTTAATTGTGTTAGTCAAAGTTAGATGGGTAAATCAACAATTGGATTACTGATGTTGGGACTTTTTAAACTTAATTTGAATTAAGTTTGTTAGACGTGTTTGGTTTTTATATGGGCTTATAATGAGTTATTCTTTTGATTGCTTGAAGAGGTTTTACAGGTTTTGGGTCTACAATTGTGTAATTTTATTTTTCTGATATATGGATAAAGCCAAAAAAAAATTTGAGTTACATGTTTTGCTGATTGTCCAGTTGTTTCATATGATGCATGAGAAGACTTTAATAATAAGCTAGAAAATATTTTAAAGATGGCAGTGGCATCTTTTTGAAGAAATTGGACTTTCGATTTTACTGTTGGTGTGCTTCTTTGACTATTAGTATTGTGTTGTTTTTTGCACTAATTTGGATCTTTTTAACTTTTACGGTGTTCTATTCTCCCTTTTTTTTTTTTATCTTTTGAAGCATATATGATTGTGCATTGGATTAATTTGATAATATATGTGTCCCTAAAATATTTTCTACTTATGATTTTTACATTTGAGGATTATTTTCTAGGTTTCAGCTTGGAGTGTAGGGTGAATGGTTTTATTTATTGTTTTGAGAATTACAAGAAATGACATCGTGATTAGTTGTGAATGAGTTTGCCATAATATTGAGTTTTTATGAATTTAATATTTCTTTTTTGGTTTGAATTTTAATCAGGCCAAAATCGAATGAAATGAGATTCATCTTGGCATAACGAGCAATATGGTGTGAAGGTAAAATGATTTGTATAGATTTGAAATACTTTGTTTTGCATTGCTCATTTAGTCAATTTTTTTCGAAAAACTTTCATGAAAGGAAAGCAAAAGATTCACGTATATTTGTCGCATTCTAACTATTTGATCTTAGAATTTTTATTTTTTAATTTTTTTTATGTATAGTCTACATGCTTCATTAATTTGTATACCTAGCTTTGTGTGATTTGATCAAGAGTTTCAATTATTAATTTCAAAAGTTTTTGGTTATAATTTGAATGCTTAGGCAGCCATATGATTGCTATTGAACCTTTTCTTTATAGTTTCTTGAACCATCTAATTGGTTGTCACTTCTAAAATAACTTATGTCTTTGACTTGAAAAGCAAAATAAAAGAATTTTTGATAATACAATTTGTTTAAAAATAATTCTGGAAAAATGAAGTAATGTGGATATTAATTTTGTTTTATTTTTTGTCAATGATGAGAAGAAAAATGATAAGCGGTGGTGAATGTTATAAGAGGGAGCCGTAGTTGTAGCTATTAATTAAAGTTCTTGCATTTGTTTGTTGGGTTCTGGAGATTGATATGGTCTTGAATATTGATTATTTGTTTTTCAGAATCCTACCTAATTTTTTTTTGAAAAGTGGATTGGTGTGTGATGTTTTCAAATTGGGTCATATTTTAAAGTCTTGTCATATTTGGCACTTAAAGTTAAGATGGGATCGGTTAAATAAATTGGGTAAATTGATTTGGCTTTTTCATAAATAATTCATCATCTTGAAAAAGACAATATTGAATTCAAAATGTCGTGCTTGACCAATGAGTTGACTTTTTTTTTTATTATGCGACAGGTTTGTATTTGAACTTTATTATAATATCTATATTATTTGGGTCAATGAAATACCTAACGCCTCCGGTCTTCGTGAGCATGGGTAATTGTTTACAATTTTTTTTATTTTATATAGTGCCTCTAGACACGGACAATTACTATTATATATATAAAAATTAAAAACTCTAATTACCTAACACCTCATCATTTCCTCAGGATTCAGGACCTTATCTGTCTCGCCTCCAACCTCCTCATCTCGCCTCTCTCACCAGTCACCTCTCTCGTCATCTCGCCTCTCTCGTCCTCTTTTTGAACACCCCTACATGCTCAATATCTCGCCCTTTCTCGTCTCTCTGCTCTAAGTGCTTTTTGTCTCTCTCAGTTGACTGTTTTAGGGTAATTTGATGCCATCGAATCGATGGTCTTAGGTCCATCGATGGTTGGTGGTTGCTTATGGCTGTCAATGGTTGGTGGTTGTTTATGGTTGTTGATTAGTGCTGTGATCTAGACTTAGGAAATTTAATTTTCCAAATTTCATTTGTATCATGGTTTTAAGCCGTGCATTATCAACTGTTTAGGGTTGTTGATCATGATTTTGTTTTTCAGTATGCTATTTTTTGTTTATCAATTTCACCTTATTGCATCTCTCTCCGTATTTGTTGTTATTGTATTGGTGCAACAATTATGATGGATTGATGTTTATGCCTTGCGCTTTCTTATGTTTTATTGTAATTGTTTTAGGTTTTAGTATTATTAGTTTATTGTATTTTTAATTTTGTGTAAATTATTTAATTGAATTGTTAAAATGATTCAAAAATTAATAATTACAAAAATGTTCAGCCGACTTCTTACTCGACTTTCTACCTAATTAATTTGGATAAAAGACGGGTAGAAATAAAACACTTGATCGGGTATGATAGGTTAAGAAATTTTTTTTTGCAAAATATCAAATAAGAAGAGGAAAGATCATATTTCTTACTCATATGATAGGGATAAACACCGGGGGTGCAGCGCCAAAAATTGGGCTCGAAGCTTTCACCTTACCAATGAGTCGACAACTGACATTTATGACTTTCAATTTTTGCGTTCTAAAAAGAGTTGCATTAAGCCGGAGAAAAGGCTGATGGCCTGTTGTTTTGAAAGCCCAATGGCTCATCGGGCCATGAATTGGCCCGGCCTGTCACATGACATTCTGGATGCTGCTTGAAGGTTAATGCACCATAGTTATCAAAATTGGATCGGTTATTGAATCATTAGAGTGATCAGATCAATGATTTATTGGTTTAATAGTTGAGTCAATTGATCAGACTGGTCGTACAATAAAAAAATAAAAAAACATAATTTAACTAAAAATTCACAATCACAATAAATTAAACAGTGTATTTTGTGTGTATGTGGTGTGTAGTGTACTGTATATGTATCTTAACTGTTGAGTGTGTGTATGTATTAACTGTTTATATTCATATTGACCGCGTATGTGTGTGTGCGTCCACGTTTAGAGAGAGATGAGTAGAAGAAGGCTAACACAGCTTAGGAAGAGATATGTGGTGTTCGACGTCTAGATCTGTGGTGTGGCCACTATCTGAGAGCTCGATTTGGAAGGAGATGGAGAAGACGAAGGGACTGCCGGCTAATTTTAAGTTTTGAATCGGTCAATTTTAAGAATTTTTGGTTCACCAATTTTGGCCAAAAACTAACCCATTTTTTTGGCTCTCCAATGGTTCAATCAGTCAGGTGGTCTTTTCTGTGAATCAGACCATTGAAGGTCCCGATTCACCAGTCCGGTCTGTAAATAATTTACTATTACAATAAGGTCGAAGTACCATTATTGAAGTACGATATATAAATATTTCTAATCTTTGAAGATTAATTATTAGGGTATGTGGGTGTGGGTGTTTTGGTGTATTTGTGTATGCGTATTGGGTGTCTGTATATAATTTTTGGTATATTAATATGTATATATATTTTTGTGTATTAGTGTGGTGTAAAATTTATTATTTGCTTCAGTAAAGTATTATTTATTTATTTATTTATTTTTTTTGCTTTAAAAAAATACCCTTGTTCTTATTTGGCCTCTTCATTACTGGGTTCATAAAGTGACCATATTAAGCCCCTTGATTTATTTATGGCATATTGCTCAACAACCAAAACCGACCCCACTTAAATAATTCATTTATATAATATATATATGTACTATCGGTCAACTTAGGTTACCTGAAACTATATTTAGATAATGATGAACCTTAATGGCTAAGGTAGCTGAGGTCATACCACAGGTAAATTCTCAGATCTCCATTTAATGTGACATGCTCATACATTGATTAAGTACTGTTGAACTCTCTTACTTAATGAGTGTGAGATTGCTACATTATTTCAATCATAAGATTTGATCCCACATAATCCTTTATTAGTAGTGATTGCAAAAATATCCGGAGTTACGTGAGCGATACTGTGATATGAAGACAATTTACCACGATGCAATATAAGTCAATTTAAACTAATCTTGAATATTCAGTGTCTTAGGTTGATTAAACACGTGATGAAATCCAAATACTAGCTCCTGTAGTTCAATCCAATAATCCAATTTCGATTAAAGTTGAATTGAACTTAATTTCAATTCTTATTGGACAAATTTTTTAACTTTCAGCTACACGTGTTAATTACGTCAATGGAATGGAAATTTCAAGGATAGGGTAGTATCGGAATCTTCAATATTTATATTTCCACAAATCACAATAGTCAATTTTGTATCCTAGCTAGGGGTCAGCATCACTCTATGTGAAGAAAAATCAACACTGAAAAAGCTACATCACATAGTCGTTGGAAGTGTAAGAACTGTGAGAGAGAGACAATGACAGAAGAAGTGAAGCTGTTTGGTGTTAAGGGAAGCCCATTTAGCCGAAAGAGTGGAGACTGCTCTGAAACTGAAGGGTGTCCAATATGAATTCATAGCAGAAGATCTGTCAAACAAGAGTCATCTTCTTCTCAAGTACAACCCTGTGCATAAGATGATTCCTGTGCTTTTGCACAATGGAAAGTCAATCTGTGAGTCTCTTGTTATAATTGAATACATAGATGAGACTTGGAAGGGCGCTCCTATCTTGCCCAAAGATCCTTATGAAAGAGCCAAGGCACGTTTCTGGGCTAAGTTCATGGATGACAAGGTAACACGTGTCTTTTTGTCTTCTTTAAATTCAGTAACATTTGATTCAAAGGCACTATATTTGAGTGTTTTTTTTGGCTCGGTGCCACGAAGCAAACAAATATCCGCCATAGATCTAAATATTCATATTAGATACCAACGAATCTAATAATAAAAAATATATTTTTATTTGTCAATACGTCTTTAATATAAACATTGAGAGTATATATACCAATTGATGAGATATTTTTCAGACACTCCCAGATGATGACACATATATTCGGCGTCAATGGAGACTCTCGCTGTGATATCGACACATCTTCATCGGTTTCCAACTCCCTTGCCCCGAGGATGTTGTTCGCAGGGATCAAGGATATCCAAACCACCTCGGACTAACATGTATTCCTCGGCAGTTTGGGTATATCGGTTCTAAATCATGCTAGTCCCTCGGCACTGAGGTGTATCTATTCGCGTGGGAATTTCTGCTCCTGCAAGGGTTATTGATGGACAGATCACTAGTCTAGACTGGGCTAGACTAGCTATCATGACCTCGTCTTACTCAAATGGTATCAGGAAGCACAAGAAAGCAGAAGGCACAACCAAAGGGGGATGGACACGTGGCATATTGTGTCAGATCAGAGATAGAAAGACCTGAATGCCCTTGCTGACACACGACTTGGGAAAGCAAGTATTTAATGCACCCTCCCTTGATGAGACAACATTTAATGCATGAGAGCTCGGAAGTGAAAGGTAATAAATGTTCCAAAGCTTGAGCATTTAATACACCCCCGCAAAAGGAAGATCATTAAACGTTCGGCAGATCGAGGAGAAAACATTAATTGCTCAGGGTCCCGAGCAGTAAAGAATAAGAACATCACTTATAGAAATTGGTGTGCACACTACCCACCTCCAATGATTACCTACTAGCTACGCTGATAGCAATGATGTGTTTTTTAAGGTATAAATAGTCCTCACAAACACATAAAAGAGGTACGCAACAAACCTTCTCTCAACCATCATATAATATTTTCTTCTTCCCCTCTCTCAAAGAACTGACTTAACCGTTGGAGGGGATACACCAAAAAATACTCCGGCGCCCTTCTAACCTGTTTTTCTTTGTTCCAGGAACCTCATTTAGCCTTCCAGGATTACTCAGACGACTCACAAAAACGATTCATTATCCACCTTGGGCCACCTTCGACCCTCACAACCTATTCGAGTAGCGAGATCGACCACCAGATTGACGGACACGTGTTCACCACGGAAGATATCTGCTTAAGTATTTATATTGTGCAAGATCCTGCATGCACAATCTGGCGCCATCTGTAGAAAACGACTAGTTTTACTAGTTCCTTCTCTAGAAAGAACAGTGATCATGGTGAATACTCGACAAAAAGGGAAAAGTCCCCAGCAAAAAAGTCTCGAGTTACAAGCTCCTCGTTATGGTGGGGGGGGGGGAGTGATCACGCTGATGACAACAGGAATGTTCCTATTCATTCAAGAGGGCATACTCCTCAAACCAGTATGGGCATTAGATCAGGAAGATCCACCCTCTTGGCTCGTCAACTAGCGGAGGTGATTGAAGAAAAGTTTGAGGATAAACTACGACAGTTAAAAAAAGATAATGTGAATGTCCTAAGCCGGCTTAACAAATTTGCCGCTTGCGACGAAGGATCGAGGGACTCATTTCGTTCCCACGGACGTCCTATCTGGGAAGCAAAAACCGAGGACTTGAGGAATCACTTAAACAACAAAGCTGAGAGCTCTAGGGTCCCGAAGCGCCCGAGAGCCAATGAGCACCCCCACGAAGGTCATTCCAGGAAGGCAAGACCTTTGGCTTGGGACGACCTCCAGCGAGGACTGTCAAGGCGCGGGAAGGGAGATGAGTCCAAGGAGGATTCAACCCTTTCCACGTGACGCCCAGAGAAGGGGACCCCTGTCAATGACCTTGGAAACTTCAAAAGACATCCCTCTGAGGTGGAGACTGATCTCAGAGTTCAGTTGGAATCTAGGAGAATGGGCAAGGCTGTCCAAGATGACGTCGAAGACGAGACCATGCAATCAACTTTTACCAGGGATATCCGAGAGATGGAGGTGCCAAAGAAGTTTATTGTGCCAAGGTTTAAAATTTATGATGGGTGGTCAGATCCCGAAGCTCACCTCAGGCACTACAAGCAAATGATGTCCCTATATCATTCAGACCAACGACTCTTATGTCGTGTGTTCTCTATGAGTTTGGGAGATTCTGCGATGAAGTGGTTCGAGACTCTTCCTCTTAACAGCATTGGGTCATGGAAGGAGTTGGCGAGATAGTTTCTAGCCTGATTCATTACGGGGAGCAAGCGGCCCAAAGACATTGGGTCATTACTGACGCTCAGTTAGAGGGAACAAGAAACCCTTCCCCAGTACGCCACCCGGTACTAGGAGGAGGTCAACGAGGTGGAGGGGTGTTCGAAAGTCATGACAGTCGCATCCTTTAGGCTTGGCCTGGCAAGGGACACAGACCTGTACTGATCCCTAACTAAGAAGACTCCTATAAATATGGGCAAATTGATGGCCCGGATAAACAAATACTCTAGGATTGAAGACGAAATGGGGGGCAACAAAGGTAAAACTCTCCCACCTAGGAGAAAAGAGAAAGAAGCGGGGGACACCTCCTGAAAGGGGCTGGTACCCCCCACAGGGGGGTCATTTAAAGGTGTTCACACTGTCTTCAAATAACCCATCTACAAGTACTCCATAAAATCAAGCATGAGCCATTCTTCAAATGGTCGCCTAGGATGCAGAGTGATCCTTCCACCCGTGATCAAAAGGTCAAATGTTCCTATCACCGAGATTTCGTCCATCGTACCGAAAATTACAGGGTATACAAGTCTTTCTTGGAAGGGCTGGTCCAGGATGGCTACTTAAAAGAATACATCAAACCCAAGTCAGAAGAGAAACACGGTCCTGCCTCGGCCGTGGAGCATGACAATGTCATAGACGTGATCCATGTATGTCCACTGGATCGCCCGACATCTAAGGAGCTTGAGTCCTACCTCAAGAGGGTAGCCTTTACAAGAAAGGTTGTCGAGAGCGATGGGGGCCCACCTAGCAAGAGGGCCAGGATCGGCGAGCCGGGTATCACCTTCTCCGACTCAGACTTGGCAGGCGTGGTGACTCCCCATAACAACACCCTAATCATAACTCTGAAGATAGGCAAGTTCGACGTCAAGAGGGTGTTGGTGGACTCCGGGAGTTCCTCGGAAGTGATGTACTCGAAGACCTTAAAGCGGATGGGCTTTGGCCTCAAGGACCTTACCAAGGTTAGGACGCTCCTTGTCAGATTTAACGGCTCATTTGCCTTGTCCATAGGCAAAATCACATTGTCAGTCATCACGGGTCCCTTCACCATCAATACTGAGTTTGTCGTGATTGATATGGACTCTCCCTACAATGTTATCATGGGGCGAGCTTGGTTGCATGCGCTGGAAGCGGTGCACTCCACTTATCACCAGAAGTTGAAGTTTACTACATCAGAGGGGATAATGGAGATTCGAGGGGACCAAACATCCGCAAAAAACTATTTTTACTCGGCTGTGAGAGCGGGGGTTTCCACCAAGAGAAGGGACGCGCCCGGAAGAGATCCTGAAAAAATAGCAATCACAGCCCGGGCGTCCGGGAGTAGATGACCCTCGGACTGATCTGACGGACCGATCGATCGGTAGAAGACCTCAAAAGGTATTCTTAGTGGATGGTGAAGAAGAGAGATACTTCCTGATTGGAACTGCAATGCCTACAGTCGAACAGGAAGAGATTATCGACTTTTTGAGGCAAAATACAGACGTGTTCACTTGGAACGCAATGGAAATAAATGGGGTGGATCCCGAAATAATCACGCATAAGCTACATGTTGACCCGACACACAAGCTAATAAAGCAGAAGCTACAGCGCATGGTGCCGCACCACACCTGGGCGGTGAACGAGGAAGTCGATAAACTCCTAGAGGCTGATACCATCCGGGAGGTGTAGTTCCTGGAGTGGTTATCTAACATAGTTTGTGTGAAGAAAAAAGGGGGGAAATGGTGCGTCTGCGTAGACTTCACTGATCTAAACAAAGCTTGTCCCAATGACGACTACCCCCTTCCAAAGGTGGACCAGTTGGTGGATGCCACTGTCGGGTACCAGCGTATGGACTTCTTAGATGCCAGAGCAGGATATCATCAAATCCCTCTCTATCCCCCGAATCAAGAAAAGACAGCGTTTATTACTCCGAAGGGGTTTACTACTATAAAGTCATGTCATTTGGGCTGAAAAACGCCGAAGCTACGTACCAGAGACTGATGAATCGGATGTTCAAAAGACAGATCGGCAATACCATGAAAGTCTACATCGATGATATGTTGGTTAAAAGTAGAAGAAGTTGTGATCACCTGGTGGATTTGGCCGATACCTTCTCCACCCTCAAGGAGTATGGGCTGAAGCTAAACACCGCAAAATGTGTTTTCAGAGTGGAGTCAGGTAAATTTCTCGGATCTGGTGAGTCGGCGAGGAGTCGAAGCTAACCCAGATTAGATTTAAGCGATCCTGGACGTCCGGAGCCCTCGAACGATCCGAGAAGTCTAGAAGCTCATAGGGATGTTGGCAGCACTCAACCGTTTTATCTCGCATTCCTTGGACAAATACAAACCCTTCTTTAGGGCCATCAAGGGGGCCGGGAAGGATACGTGGAGCCAGGAGTGTGAAGATGCCCTGCCAGGAATCAAGGAGTACCTCAGGGTGCTGCCGACCCTATTTGTCCCTGTCCAGGGGGAAATGCTCTTCATGTACTTGTCCGTATCAGGATTTTTCGTCAGCAGGGTACTTATTCGCGACCACGAGCACCACCGGAAGCCAGTTTATTACGTGAGCAAAGCGCAACTGGACGCAGAAACAAGATACCTACCCTTGGAGAAACTCGCTCTATCTCTGGTCACAACTGCAAGAAAACTGAGACATTATTTCTAGGCACACTCGATTATTGTCCTTAGCGATCAGCCCTTA